CTTTTTATGCACCAAAGATCTGCATAGTAAAACAGTGTTGTTCCTTGGAGCTGTCCCTTGGGAGACAACAGAAAATTTTGATTGATGTGTTAGCCTTCCTATCCAATGGCAATGGCTTGTACGCCAGGGTATGGGACAAACAAAAAATGTCGGTAATCTGGGCAGGTGGTTTCTCAGTTGTTTCTCTCCCAGGCTCCTCCTCCCTTTCTTAGCATGTTCAAATTCCTAATAAACTGCCAAGCTATGCAGGCTATACTCAACACAAACCTCCCATAAACAAACATTTGACAGTTTTGGTGACTGACACAAATAGGAAATATAGATTGAAATAATAATATTACCAGCACTAGGAACCTACCCTGATAAGTTCCTCCACAATGGATTCAGATCCACTGGCATTTAGTGCAATATCTAAGGCTGTCTGCCCTTCATTGTTTCGGATACTTCTGTCTGCACCAGCAACAATAAGTGACCTGATGGCCTGAGTGCAGTATTCAATTTTGTGTTTTTCACCTCGAGCTAAAATGTGCAGTACTGTTTCGCCAGCAATGTTAACTGCATTCAGAATGGCATCTGCATAATCCCCCATCTTCTTGCCTTTGTTCACAATCACCTCTACACATGACAGAAAGAAGTTGGGTTTGTGATCTCCATTTACAAGCATTTTTGCTGCTGTGTGCAAAGGAGTATCTTCATGTGACTCATCTTTTATCAACAGGGCTTCCTTTAAGAGGCCAACCATTTTTGCAAACTTTGGATTGAGTTCTTTCACTGTGAATTTTGGTCTTGATTTATACAACAGCTGGATAGCTCGATGCAGGGCAGTTTCACCTTTTCCTGATGATTTTGCCACGGAAGAAAATCCACTGGCAAGCATCCACTCTAGAGCATTACACTTGCCCAATGCTGCTGCCCAGTGAATGAGAGGGCATCTGTTTTCCAACACTGCATCTGGCACATCGTCGTCTTTTCCCCATCCACCTTTGGTGTATTTGTCAACACTTTCTTTCAAGTTGTCAAGATTTGACAAGGACCCCAGCATATCTGTACAGTTGATAATAGCCACTAACAGTTCATGGTGCTCTGGACACTCTTTATTTTTGTCACAGAACGGAGTACATTTGCGCAACATAGGTTCTTGGTTTATTTTAGAGAAGTCTTGATATGCATTTGCCATGGAAGCCATCATTACACCCAAAACAGTGTAATGCTTTTCAAACTCTCTCTTTAGTTAATTTAAGCTGGAATCTGTGAAAAAAACAAAAAAAAACATTTGATATAAGTTCCACAAAAACTAAATAGTCACCACCTGGAGACAGATATCTTGGATGGGGGTTAGCTTAGGATGTTTGTATTTTTGCTGCATCCTAATGCATGCCAAGGTGTCACGGCATTCACAATGCA